GTCTGAGGAGGATAGGTTTTAGTTCTTCCTTGAATGTTTGGTAAAACTCCACTGTGAAGCCGTCTGGCCCCGGGCTTTTGTTTGCTGGAAGCTTTTTTATTACTGCTTCAATTTCCTCCATAGTTATTGGCCTATTGAGACTTTTAGCTTCTTCCAGATTAAGTTTTGGAATGTTGTATTTTTCTAGGAATATGTCCATTTCCTCCAGGTTGTCTAGTTTGTTGGAGTAGAGTTGTTCATAGTATTTTCTAACAAGCCTTTGTATTTCTGTGGGGTCTGTTGTTATTTCTCCTCTTTCATTTCTGATTTTGTTTATTTGGGTCCTCTCTCTTTGTTTCTTGGTGTGCCTGGCTAGAGGTTCATCAAACTTGTTTATCCTTTCAAAGAATCAGCTCTTGCTTTCATTGATCTTTTATATTGTTTTTTTGGTCTCTATGTCGTTTATCTCCCCTCTGATCTTTATTATTTCCTTCCTTCTGCTTACACTGGGCTTTTCTTGTTGCTCTCTTTCTAACTCCTTGAGTTGTAGAGTTAGGTAATTTATTCTTATTGTTTCTTGTTTCTTGCAGTAGGCTTGTAGCGCTATGAACTTCTCTCTCAAGACTGCTTTTGCTGTGTCCCATAGGTTTTGGATTGTTGTGTTTTCATTGTCGTTTGTTGCCATGATGTTTTTTATTTCTTCTTTAATCTCTCTGGTAACCCAGTCATTGTTTAATAGTGTGCTATTTAGTCTCCATGTGTTTGATTTTTTTGGATTGTTTTTATTGTAGTTGATTTCCAGTTTTATGCCACTGTGGTCTGAGAAGATGCTTGATATGATTTCAATCTCCTTGAATTTGAATAGACTTTGCCTGTGACCCAATATATGGTCTATCTTTGGAAATGACCCATGTGCACTTGAGAAGAATGTATATTCTGTGGCTTTGGGGTGAAATGTTCTGAAGATGTAAATTAATTCCATCTGATATAGTGTGTCATTTAGGATTGATGTTTCTTTGCTGATTTTTTGTTTAGAGGAATTGTCCAATGGTGATAATGGGGTGTTAAAGTCCCCTACTATGATTGTGTTGCTGTCAATCTCTCCCTTGATCTCCTCTAAAAGATTTCTTATGTATGTAGGTGCTCCTATATTGGGTGCGTATATGTTTACCAGAGTTATTTCTTCTTGTTGGATTGCTCCCTTTAGTATTATGAAGTGGCCTTCCTTATCTCTTTTGATGTCCTTCACTTTAAGGTCTAATTTGTCAGATATAAGTACTGCTACCCCGGCTTTTTTTCCACTTCCATTCACCTGAAAAAACGTTTTCCATCCCTTCACCATCAGTCTGTGTGCATCTTTTTTTCTGAGGTGGGTTTCCTGTAGACAGCAGATATATCGGTCATGTTTTCTTATCCACTCAGTTACCCTGTGTCTTTTGATTGGGGCATTTAATCCATTTACATTTAAAGTTATTATTGCTAGACACTTGTTTGTCATCATTTTTATTCTTTACCCCTGTGTTCCTTCTTCGTTTCCTATTTTTTCTTTTTACAGCAGACCCTTTAGCATTTCTTGCATTGCTGATTTGGCGGTAATAAACTCCCGTAGTCCTTTTTTTGTCTGTGTAGCTCCTGATTTGACCCTCAATTTTGATTGATAGCCTTGCTGGGTACAGTATTCTTGGATTCAGACCCTTCGTTTGCATGACTTTGTATATTTCATTCCATTCCCTTCTTGCCTGATGTGTTTCTGTTGAGAAATCGGTCGCTAGTCTGATGGGGGATCCTTTGTAGGTAATTTTCTGTCTCTCTCTGGCTGCTTTTAAGATTCTTGCTTTGTCATTGGTGTCTGCCAATTTAATTATAATGTGCCTTGGCGTTGGTCTTTTGGGGTTCATTTTGTTTGGGACTCTGTGAGCTTCTTGGATTTGTGTGAGTTTTTTCTTCCCTATATCAGGGAAGTTTTCTGTCTTTATTTTTTCAAACAGGTTTTCTATTCCTTGCTCAGTTTCCTCTCCCTCTGGCACCCCTATTATTCGGATGTTGTTTCATTTCATGTTGTCCCAGAGTTCTCTTAGGCTCTCTTCCTGCTTTTTAATTTTTTTTCCCTAGAAGCTGCTCTGCTTGGGTATTTTTTCCTACCTTGTCTTCTAGCTCACTGATGTGGTCCTCTGCTTCTTCTAGTCTACTGTTGATGCTTTCTATTGAGTTCTTTATAGCAGTGATGTCATTTTTCATTTCATCTTGGTTTTTCTTCATTTCCTCTTGGTTCTTGCACATATTTTTGAATTTATCTTCCATTCTTTTCATCCGCCTTATGGCCATTTCTCTGAATTCTTTCTCTGACAGGTTGCTTGCCTCCATTGCCTCCATTTCATTTACTTCCTTTTCTGGTGATGCCTGTTTTTCTTTCATACGCGGGCTGGTTCTTTGTTTCACCATGATCTCTCTTCTCCAGATGTTTGGTTATGTAGTTCTCTCTCTGCTGTGTTGATTTAAAGGCACAAAATACAACACAACAAGGCACAACGTACAAGGCACTGAACACAAATGTATTCATGATATTAATAACCCCAAATAAAGGTGACCACCTGAGCAAAGATAATTAGGGGATTAGGAAGATAGAAGAGAAAATGATAAAAGAGAAAAGGAAAAAAAAAAAGGAGTGCAAAATTGGAATTGGGAAAAGGGAGGAAAAAAAAGTAAGAGAGAGAAGAAAGAGAATGAAGTAGAAGAGGGGAAGAGACTATTTCTATGGGGAGAAAACTCCAATAGCACCGCCACTAATCCCAACCAATTCCAGCAACAGATCCCTGGAGATGAATGCAAACTAAAACAACCACTAATATCAAGCGAGGTGAGGGAAAACAGAAGCACAAAAATAACTGGATAAAAAAACAACAACAGGAAAATAAAAAGAAAAAGCAAAACAATCTCACAAACAAGCATTAAAAAAAACCAATATACTCAAAAATCAAGCAAACATAACAAAACGACAGAGAGAAGAAAAAAAAATTGGATATTGAAGAAAGGTAAGAGAGAGGTGTATATGGATTTAGAGCAGGAGATTGGAAATTAGATATATAAGTAGGGTGAAATTTAGACAGGAAAAAAGAAGGAATAGGGAAAATCTAAAGCAGAAATAGGGTAAGAGAAACAAAACAACAAAAGGGGAAAAGTGAGGAAGAAAGTTGTGGCATAAAGGTAAAGTTGCGGTAGAGAAAAATGATGCTAAAGGAATGATGAAAATAGAATGTAGAACACTAATCCCAAAATAAAATAAAGAGAAAATAAAATGACACTTTAAAAAATGGTAAAATGGTAGTAGTAATAATACTAGTTAAAAATAAAAGTGTTGTAATCAAAAAGGTAAAATCAGGTGATGAAAAAAGAAAAAAAATAGTTTCTTAATTAAAAGGTGAAAAAAGAATTAAATATAAAAATAAAAATGTACAGTAGTGAAGGTGCTGGTCCTCTACTCTTCTTTCTGGGACGCCTTAGTCCTGCCAGGTATTCAGGAGAGTGTTGAATTCCCCTGAGATACACTGTTCCTCCGTGTTGTAAACCACAGTCCTGATTTTAAGGCAGGCCGTATTTGTTTCCCAGACTGCCTTTATTTGTGTTTACAGAAGAGTCAGTTCGTGGATCAGCCCCTGGGTGGCAGTGTTTCTGGATTGACCTCTGAGGCTGTAAGTCCTCTCTATCCAGCAGTTGAGTTTATTTTCCCTATCGCACTTAAAACTGGTTTGGGAGAGTCAACTATCCTATAACCTGTTCTTTAGTCATTACTCCCGCTCTGTTTCCCAGGTTCCACAAAAACAACTTTCCCCTGCAGTCTCTGCGAGTGACCCCGACAGGCAATCCCATATACTGGGCAATCCCATATACTGGGTTTAATAATCAAACGCAAAGATTTAATGGGAAGAGAGAGAACAAGAGCCTGAGAAGTTGCGCAAATTCACAATCCCCCCCTTTCAGCTCTGTGTGCAGCCCCTTCCACGCACCCTCTCTTCCCCAGTGCTAAGCAGCTGGCACACTGGCAAAATCCAAGGCTGCTTTTTTGTACCCAGTCCAGCTATGGGCTTATTTTTAGCATTCCCTTCTGCCAGCAGCCCTGTGGGAGCCCTTCCACACTCACGGATCACTCTGGCCCCAACGGCCACGGACTTTGTGGGGCTCAGATTTCCCCAGCGCAGGCACGCGCATGCATTCCTCTCCCCAACCTGAATTGCAAACCGCACCTTTAGGGGAAGTCTGACCTTTCCGTGGGGAAAAACAGGGTTCCTCTAAGTTCACGTAGTCACGCTGCTTGGGGTCTGTTGTTTCCGGGTTAGTAGCCGATCTCTGGATGCCATGGATGCCGCATCATTGGCTTTATATGCTCCCAATAACAGCCACTCAAGATGGTGCATTCTCCGTGGCTGAGCCGGCGCTCTGGGAGAGATTTCAGCCGCAATCTCTAACTGTTCCCTTTCTCCAGGAGTCCTCTGTCTTTCCCGACTGCAAACTGTCTCCCAGCTGAATATGTTCTGTTTATTAGGGCTGTATGTTACCCATTTCAGCTGCTCACCCTTATCTGCTCCTGGACAAGGCACAGGGCATGTCCGTCTATACCTCTGCCATTTTCAGGGCATGTTTTTTTATTTAATAACGGGGAAAGAAGTCTCCCAACAAAAGCCAGTTGTTAAGGTCACAACAGTATTTGAAAGTTTAGAAATTCACAGACGCCTCAGATGTAACCCTATAAAATGTCAAAGCTTGCTATCAGTGAAAGAGCTTTAGAAGGCAGCATTCTGTGCAGACATGCCTTGTGGTGGGGGTGCCGGGGCTGCCGTCACCCAGCGAGTAAGACTTCAGGCTGAAGAACGCCCTCCCCCAGTGAGTAAGACTTCAGGCTGAAGAACCCCCTCCCCCAACTGGCACACCTTCTGCACACTGAGAGGAGCTGGGGCTCCTGAGACCCAGGGAGCTGCTTTCCTTGCCTTCCTGACATACATCTCTTCTCTCTCCTCCCCATGCAGGTTTCGCCTCCAGTGCCACCGCATTGTCAATGACTCGATCTTCACCAACCTGATCCTCTTCTTCATCCTGCTCAGCAGCATTTCCCTGGCTGCAGAGGACCCGGTCCAGCACACCTCCTTCAGGAACCATGTATGCATTCCCATTAGTTCTCTGCACCCCTTCCTCCCGGGAACGTGACTGGGCCCACAGCTTCTGTCGCTGGCCTCATTGTTCAGTCAGGAGCCCAACTCCAAATCTCATAGTCAAATAAACAGTTCTTTATAGATTAAGGCTTTGGTAGAAATCATATAAGGACCATAAGTAAGATAACATGTACCTAGATACCTCAGGCTGGCCTGATGGGCAAAGATCAGGACTTTCATTGCCCTGTGGATGTCCCCTGGTTTCCTGTACACTTAAGAAAAAAAATATCCCAAGGTACTCTGACCAGTCCTAATCATGAGGGAGACAGGAGCACTGCAGATAGCTGCCAATGATAAGGCTGACCTTAAATAAAAGAGAGCTTCTGTGGCCTCCTGTGGAGTAGAACTAAACTTGGAGGCCCGCTCAAGGCTCCGATGAACAACATTAAAATAAAAAATAAGCATTGCTGTATCTCAAAGCCTCAAAACAAATCCCAACCAAGTGGGCATGAAGAGAGGGGCCTACCAATCTAAAGGCATGTCCACACAAACCACTTGGTAGTCCTGCTTGGTTCAGAGCATTTCTACTGGGAAAAGTATTGGGCCTCACTCCGATCCACTGAGAAGGAATAAAACGTGAAACCATACAGCCTGCCCCAGCCTGGGTGGGCCTCCCCTGGAGGATGCACCTCCTGTGCCCAGAGGACACACTCCCACCAACGTGGAAAGCTGGCCAAGCCACACCAATGCCAGTTAAGCACTTTGCATCTTCTTGCAAAAGCAAACAAGAAAACCCTATTTGCTGTCCTTTTGACAAGTTGTTGTCCCAGTGGACTGATTTGGGTTTGTAAGGATTGGATTAATGAGAAAAGCATCAAGATGCTGTAGAGACTTGGGACCAGCTGAGGCCTGCCCTGAGCTCCCTTCACACATCTGGGGACTCCATCCAGAGCCACCAGCTGCCTGAGGCCAGCCCGCTTCAGGGTCCAGTGCTGTGTGTGTGCCACTCAGCTCCTAACTTGTTTGCCTTTGTCTCCATGTGGAAAGGCTCACGCGGTGTCTGTTGTGGTTTGAAGTGATTCCTTTTCCGGTGAACAGCCACTGACCGCTCCCCGATCCTGCCTCTCCCTTCCCTCCCTGTTCCCACTCCGTTTCTCTTTGTTTTACAGATTCTGTATTATTTTGATATTGTTTTTACTACCATTTTCACCATTGAAATTGCTCTGAAGGTAAAGCCCCCCCTCCCCCTGCACCTCCTGTTCTCCAGGGCACTAGCTCTCTGCCACTGTCTGTCCCTAACACACGTGCACCTGTTGCTGTCCGTTCCCTCTCTGAGCCACTAATTCAATTGTGCTTATTTTTCAGATCCTAGGCAATGCAGACTATGTCTTCACTAGTATCTTTACATTAGAAATTATCCTTAAGGTAATGCAACCTGAGAAATGCATTCTGTCTGTCTCTTTCTCTATCTCTGCCCTGCCTGCCTGTCTCTTTCCTCTTGTTTCTTTTACTCTCAAGCCTGAAATCAGAAGAATTAGTGCCCCTGACATTGTGCTAGCGCCTTGCTAAGGCTCAGAAGCCAGAGGAACCCCACTCCCATTCCCACACCTGCCTCCTCCCGGCCTGGCATTTGGCTGCCAGTGTCACCTACTGGGCTGTCCTGTCACCAGGTCTGGCCCTGTGCCCACCAGCAGTGCTCCCACACTCCTGCACATGCCCCACACACCGTCTGTGGGCAATTGATGACTGACCCTGCTTGGACCTCCTTGTGCCCTGAGGGGATGCCACACAAACTCCAGGGGTGGGGAAGCTCCGGGCCATGGCAGGGTCGCTTTGGCTACCTTCTTTGATGCCCATCATCAACTCCTCAGTACTTGCAGCAGACATGTGGGCCCAACACAAGATTTGGGGCCAGACTCTCCAATGAGTTCTGATAGACAACTCTAGATTAGATTACTCCTGCAGCCTCGGTTACTGCCAGAAAGCTTTGTGGCAATGCCCCTTGCCCTGAGGAGGGAGAGTTATACTGGAGAGCTAAGTACAGGGGGTGAGAGCCAAGTGCTGAAAGAAGCTGGAGCACCCAGGCCCCAGGGCCCAGACATGAGGGCTCAGGCCTCCAGCAGCCCCAGGTGTAGGCAGCTCATCTGCAGAATCCACAGCCCGCCTCCACGCAGCACTGGGATGAGGCACATTATTTCCAAGTTTTTTCTTATTATTTATATCAATTATATTAATACATAACTCATAGATTACTTATGTTTTATTTTATTCTGATTTCTAAGTTTACCCAGTAAACTTCTGAGCCGCTAATCAATGCATCGCCACTCCAGTTCACCCGAGACACAGGGGATTTACCCTGACCCCAAACAGCCCCCCACCGAAGGGTCAAAGCCTCCCAAGGGATGCTCCTCCCAAGGGGCCAGGCTCCCTTTTCACCCTTCAGGTGGCTGGTGCAACCAACGTCCAACCTGGCCCTGTGCGGGCAGCCCCAGCCCCTGCTCTTCCTGGTGGAACTCCCACGGCCTGACCCAGCCTGTCACGTATAGGACAAGCTCTGTCTTTTCCAGTTAATTTGGGTTGGGCAGTTTTGTGCCTTTTTTTTTTTTTTTCCATTCAGACCCAGTTTCGGTCCCTGGTTCCAGCTAACAAGACTGTTTCTGGGGTTTTCTCTCTACTCAGCAGAGTGGATCCTCCAGGTCCCGGTTCTGGGGGTGAGGAGAGGGGCCCGAGGGGTGCTGGCTGCACTGGGAGGGGTGCTGCAGAGCCCCCTTCCAGGAGGAGCTGATATTTTCAGACTCAGGGAGGCACACAAAATCCCCAAATCCTCTCCTGTGACCAGAAGTTCCCAGCGCCCTCTGCAGAGCCTCCCTGGGGGCTTCAGTGGCGCTGTTGTGCCTAAACATTTCACAAACAGGAGTGAGAGCTCACTGCACAGGCATTGTCATGGCAAGACCTTCCTTGCCTTCCCCTCTGTCTCTTCTACTCTCTACTCAGTGTGCTTGCAGATATAAATCCCAGCCCCAGCGCACTTCCCTGCACCTCCTTCCACGGGCCTCTGCCTGGCTGCAGGCCTGGCGTCCTGCCACTGGCACAGACAATGACAGTCATCAAGAGGGACATTTAGTCCCAGGAGCAGGTGAAAAACTGGGGGGTTTTGGCCTCAAAGAGAAAAGGCTTGTAGGACACAACAGTTGGCCTGAACGATGCAAAGGCCTGTCACATAGAGGAGGGAGGAGCTGGAGCCAGGACAAATGAGCAGAAATGATAAAAGGTGAGATGCAATTGGGAACTAGAATTGCTGGCTCCAGAAGTGGTGGGTTACCCGTGGCTGGACAGAGGGGCCTTCCTGTCCTTCCAGCTCAGAGTCAGTGGCCCTGTGTCCCGCTGCTTTTCTCTCTTTGGGCTGAAAATGCCCAGCAGTGGCTTTTCCCAAGCAATGGCTCTGGCAAAACTGGAACCCAAATCAAAGGACAGAGCTGGCGCTCTGAGCCCAGCGTCCACCGGAGGGAGGCATGCTTTTCCCTGGATGCAGATGGCTCTGTTGGAGCTCAGAGCGTCCTCACAATACCCAGCACCTTCTCTAAGATGAGAGGGGGGTGGCTAGGGAGGTGCTCAGCCTTCAGCAGGCACAGAGCACTTTGGTTAACATGAACCATGGGAGCCACCCAAGTCCGCTCTCGGGGGTCCCAAATCCTCACCAAGAGGGGCAGCGAGCCCCTCCAGATGGTAGCCTCTGGGAGAGATCTCTGACTCTATTCCTCTGCCACCTTTTATATAACCTGCCCACTTCAAGAAACGATTGCAGGACACAGGTGTCTGCATCCCCTGTGACCCCCTGTGGCAAGAGATAAATGGAAAGAATTAGGTTGCAAGAGCTATTTTTGCTCATTCCCCCTGTGTTTGCTTGGAACCGCTCTGCAGACGTGCTGCCCTGGGCATGCTCTGCTCCAAAGGGATGAACTGGACCCGGTGACCCGCTTGGCCTCTCAGCCAGCAGCTTCCAAGCTTCCCTTTGGCTGATGTTCTGTGGCCCGTGGCCTTTCACAGCCCTTCACCTGGAAACCCTTAATTCAGGTCAACACAATTGGAAAGGCTATTTGCTGAGCACCTACAGTGGCTTTATACCAAGCTCTGAGAGAGGTAATAATAGCCAGTACTGATAATACTCATCAGTCCACATGTTCCCTTTTGGTTTCACGTGGTTTTCCATACGTAGTATGTGCCTCAGGGAGGCAGGGAATCATGCACCCACTTTATCGATGAGGAAACTGAACTTCCATTGTACAGAAGGAATTCAGAATTCAAATCCAAGCTCTCTGAGCCCAGCATGCACACAGCACTGACTACCAGCAGGATACTGTTCTAAGTGATTTACATACAATAACTCAACTGGAACTTGTAGCCCTATAGGGGAGATATTATCAGTCTCCCCATTTCTTAGATGATGAAACTGAAACACAGAATAGTTAGTAACTTGCCCAGGCCTCACAAATAAAATACAATAGGGTTGGGATTTAAACCCAGGCGGCCTGACTTTAGAGCCTGTGATCTTTAACACGCACCACACGGCCCCTCTGGACACAGTTCTGGCCCTCGAAGAACACACAGTCTAGCAGCAAGATGGCAACTGAGATTAGAATGCGTGGCCCAGGTCAGAGGCAGTTTGAGGGAGGCTGAGTGCCAGAGCTATTGGCAGGTCTTCTCACTGGGCAGTAGAGGCCCACCTGTTCCAATTTGCCTGAGACTGAGGGACCCATCCTTTCAGAACTGAACTGGGAAGTCCCAGGGAACCAGGATGGTTGTGACCTTCCTGGGCACACCTCCTCCCCACAGATGCCTGGTGTCCTAGCTGGTTCCGATGTCAGTGGAATTTTGAGAGGAGGTTGGAAAACCTGGTCAGCATAGCATCAGCAAAGGGCCCCTCGGGTCTGGAGCCACGGCTATGCGATGAGGAACAGTAGAAAATGGGAAAGGGCTGGCGGCCTGATTTGAAAGGGCTTCAAATATAGGATTGAAGAGTCTGGCATCGCCTGCTAGGTAGGAGACACTGATAGCCCCTGGGCTTGGGATTCTTTGGTGGTTGTATAAATGGTTGCAGAACCCTTTTCTTGACACTGTATCTCCTTCTCCAGTCTTGCCTACCCCCCAGCCCTCTGTCCCCTCACTGCTCTTCAGGGTGCCGTGGGAGGGCAGGGTAGGAGGGGGGGTCTCTGGAGTTTGGACAGGCACCACTCATGGGGGTGTTTCTCTGTGCCTCCCTGCAGATGACTGCTTATGGGGCTTTCTTGCACAAGGGCTCCTTTTGCCGGAACTACTTCAACATCTTGGACCTGCTAGTGGTCAGCGTGTCCCTCATCTCCTTTGGCATCCAGTGAGTAGGACCCCTCAGTGGTGAGGGCATGCAACTAGGAATGGGTGTCAGGACATGAAGAGTCTGCAGGGCCCCCCTGCACCCATCCATGGATCTGCAGTGTGGATGGGGTGGGGCCTCTGACTTGTACAACATGGCGGCTTTGATTTCTTGTGCCCATGTCCTGTCCTCATGGTGTGACACTTGGAGTGTGTTGATCCCGCAAGAACACATATAAATACCTGAAGCTTTCCATGGCAGGCAGGGCCAGGCCCTGTTATAATGAGAAGAAAGGCTCGAGGGCCTTCCTGTCCCTCCACCATATGCCCAGGGCCTTTGGGTGCCCTCAGCTCCAAGGGCCTGTCATTGCCCTGATCTGCCCTGGTCTCCAGCCCATTCCCCCTCCCTTCCTCTCACCTCTCCAGTCAAAGCACCTGGTGAGAGAGAGAGGGAGGGAGCAAGGGAGGGTTCTCAATCTTGGCTACACAGTGAATCACCTAAGTAACTTTTAAAAAGACATGTGCTCCAGAGTTTTTTATTTAACTGTTCTGGGGTTCAGCCTGGGCTTTAAGATTGTTAAAAGCTCTCCAGGGGGTCCCACCGTACAACCAAGTTTGCAAACTTGCTCAGGTTTAAAAGAATCTGATTACAGGTTTCTCTCACATTGTATCAGCTAATAGTGCTAATCCTGCACTTTAACTTTCCAGGCACTTTCACCAACATTCCCCACACAAACCTACAAGGTGGGCAGAGCAAGTGCTGTTACCCCCAGTTTATAGACAGCAAAACTGAGGTTCAGGACATTGTGAGACATACCCAAGGTCACACTGAGGGCAAAGAAAACGACCCTGAGTCTCCCCTCCCAAGGGTGTTTTCAAGGTCAGCCTAGAAAGCATGGAGTGGGGGTGTTAGGCATGAGACTCTCCCCTCTGATCACCAATTATCTGACCCTCCACCGTCTGTCTGCAAGCCTGCGGGTCTGGATTCTAACCCAGCACTACCACGAAGTCACTGTTTAACCTTGAACCAAGGACTCCCTGCTTTAGTCTGTGCTTTTCCCATCTGACCTTTAAATCCCTCCTGTTGTGATTCAGTGCAAACCAACTCCCTCCCTCATATACCATATAGATAGGGATGTCCTTTGAATCCTTTGGAATGAAAGAGCTGAGAACCAGAGAAATCAGCTCTCTCTGCCACCTCCCCTCCCCCCGCCCCCCAGCACATCAGCCTGACCACCTGAAGAATGAAGTTAGCACTTACCTGCCTCATGCGTTGTTTAGGTCCCAAGGTGGGTCTAAGGCTCTCCGAAAGCCAGAGGGATTATCTCAATCAAACATTAGCGGTCAGCATGTGAGGGTTAGGACACACCTCAGAGTTGCTCCCCGAGCTGACGAGCTGGTATGGTGAACAGGCCACCTGGGCTGGTGGGGGCTGGGGCCCTGGGACCTCCTATTGGTTAGGGAGCAGCAGTGGCCAGAGGTTCCTGAAGTTTTTCAAGGTGTGCAGGACCTGCTAGATAGAACCCATTCCTCCTGACTGCTATGAGCCAGAAGTTTTACATATAAGTGTACTGGGCAGCCTCCTAGGACATGTTTAGAGATGAGCATGGTATCTCCCACCCACGCCCTCCACCTCGTGCCCCCCGCCTGAAGCGCCGCCATTTGTGTAGTGTTTCTTCAAGTTCAGCCATGTCTTCCTCAGCCCTCATAATAAAGCTGCCATGTACTCAGTTCATACACTAGACCACTCACACCTCACTCAGTCCTTGCAGCAACCTTACGAAATGATTACTACCCAATTTTACAGGTGAACAAACTAGGGCCCAGAAAAGTTAGGGCATTGATCCTCAGTGACACGGCTGGTGCGTGGCAGAGCTGGGTTAGACCCCAAGTCTGTGTGGCCCGCGCTGTGTCTCTGATGGCTCTAAAGGCCCCTGGGTGGCAGGTGATGTTGCTAGTGAGTCCTGGTGAGCTGCTTTTCATATTACTTACTCACCCACAGGCAGTCCGGGCAAGCACGCCTCAGGTCCTCATGGGGTGGGAGCCAGGAGTAGAGAGAGTAGAGAGGGTCCCAGGATGAGAAAGCCCCGTCACATTAACAGGTTTGCTGGGTTACCTGCCAGGACACTCCTCACCACATTCTTTGCTGCTTTGCCAAAAACACAAAAAGCTCACTCCCTGCCCTGCTTCTCTCCCAGGTCCAGTGCAATCAATGTTGTAAAGATCTTGCGAGTTCTGCGTGTACTCAGGCCCCTGAGAGCCATCAACAGAGCCAAGGGGCTAAAGGTGAGAGGGGGGCTGAGTGGGAGCCACCAACACCCCCCACCCCCGCAGCCTGTGGGCTGCAGGGGGGAGCCAAGCTGCGGTGAGAGGTGGGCTGCAGTGGGGAGCTAAGCTGCGGTGAGGGGTGGGCTGCAGGGGGGAGGTAGTGTGGGGTCGAGTGGCTGCCCTGTTGGGGCCTGCAGCCTCCTGCTGCTTCTCCACTCCCCCTTTAAGAACAATGACAGGCAGCCACTCAAAATCTGAACTCCTCAGCAACACTTCTGCAAAAAGGAGACCCACACACAAACCCAGTGCCCAGATGGTGATGAGGTCCCTGTATTCCTACCCTAGGAATTAGGAAGAGAGTGGGGCTTATGTCCCTGTGGTTACCTAGAGCCCAAAGGGGCCTTTGTGTGCCGCTGGGCTCCCTCCCATGTGACCCTGGGAAGGGGAAGGTGCTTTGCCTCTTTGAGTCTGAGTTCCTCACTGTGGCCAGGGGGCTGCCGTGCTGCCTCCTCGGAGGGGCCTGTGCTTTGCCAAAGAAGCCCAGGCTACAGGCATTTCCCGACACCACTCCCCCGCCCGCCTTCTCTCCATCTGCAGCATGTGGTCCAGTGTGTGTTCGTGGCCATCCGCACCATCGGGAACATCGTGATTGTCACCACGCTGCTTCAGTTCATGTTCGCCTGCATCGGGGTCCAGCTCTTCAAGGTAAGACCTTGGCTCTTCCTTCTCCTGTCAGCGTTCCTAGGAAGGGGACCTGGCAGATACAGCCAGAAGAGGACTGTGGCCTGGGTCAGGCTTGGGATGAAGGTCACCCTGCCCTCAGCTCCCAGACCAGAAAAGAGACAGGCTTGGAAGGAGGCATTGCCCCAGCAGGCGAAGACCCTTCGGCCTCTAGGTGCTGCCTGCCCTTCAGGTCCTGCCCCTGCTTCTGGCGGTAAAGGGAGACAGACTCCTATGCTCAGAAACCTCCGTGTGAGGCACCTGCGTAAAACCTGCAGTGGTTCCCTTTTTGGCGGCATCAAACTGCCCTGACTCTATCCACGTCCTCTCTCACTGCTTCCTGAGAAGCCCCCCAGGTCCAGGGAGCCCAGTGTCCTTGGTTTCCACTCTTTTCTGCCATAATCCTTTTATCTCTGTGCGCCTCCCATTGGAAGCATTCTTCCCCCCTCTCCTACCCACCAATTAAACTTCCACTGATTGCCTCCCACCCAATCATCCCTCCAAGCCCAGCTCCACTGCTCTCTTCCCCACGAGAGCTCCTTCAGAGTCTGGCACTCATGATTGGAGCTACCTATTTTAAATTCCAGTGGTTCTCCGGCTCTGACTGCTTTATATCTGTGACTCAGGGCTGCCCACCTGGACTCTACTCCCCTCACACTTGTTGTCCCAACTCCCTAGCATGGTGCTGGGATGATCATTTCTGATTAATTCATTGATTAATGAACATCTCCAACCCCTTCCTTCTTCTGCCTTCCAGGGAAAGCTCTACACCTGTTCAGACAGTTCCAAGCAGACCGAGGCGGAATGCAAGTGAGTGCGGGCTGGCGGGAGCCAGCATGTAGGCTGGGTAACTCGGGAGGTTGGTGGCTTGGTGTGAGAGGAGGGACAGCCATTCTCCCTCAGATAGCAGTGGAGCTGGACTTTTACCCAGGGATAATCTGATCCCACAGACATAACATACCAGGTTCTCCCCACTGAAGGTCCTGCCAATGGCTAGAACTGAGGGTGTTAAGTAAGCCTAACTAGTTCCCTCCCACCCAGCATGCCAAGAGTCATTGTGGATCAGGTGTGAAAGGAGATGAGAGACCCCCCACAACTAACTTTCTCCTTTCTCAGGGGAAACTACATCACATACAAGGACGGGGAGGTGGACCACCCCATCATCCAGCCCCGCAACTGGGAGAACAGCAAGTTTGACTTTGACAATGTCCTGGCAGCCATGATGGCTCTCTTCACCGTCTCCACCTTTGAGGGGTGGCCAGAGTGAGTATGCAAATCAAGGCCTGATACCAGAGACCAGGACATGGTTCTCACACGCGGTCCCCAAGTTTTATTACTGTCCCATACTCCTTCCCAGAGGTCACTTACCAGAGTCCTCCCCCAGGAAGTCTGGCTGTGTTTCTAGAACAATTTGTAGGCCATCATCACTGCTGAAACACACACTTTTCTTTTTCTAGAGATGTCAACATTTCAGGAACTCAAACCAAAAATGAGCTTCTTTTAATTCTCCTTCCCAGCCTCAAAGTGAAGCCCTAACAATAGGGTCTGTGGTTACCCTCATGACACCTGGGAGTGGGGTGCGGGGAAAGTTTCTCCACTGTGGGCCTTTGAGTCACCACAGGATTTAAGATCATCACCCCCAGCGTGCACTCAGTGCGTGTGAAGATGGCAGAGCTGTCTCTGTTTTATGAGACTCTACCCCAGCCTCCGTAGAGAAAGTATGTTGATATTTATAGTGGAAAGTAAGAAAGGGATGGAAGCGTGGGTCCAGACTTCGCTGCAGAGGCAGTGTCTTCATGCCTAAACCACCAGCTGGTCAGCCTTTATGCTGTATCACCCGTACCAGGCAGCTTGTCCATCTTGCACTCCCTACATCTTTATACAGGCACCTGCTCCCCCACTTTTGTATTCCAGTGAAATTATCATCTAACGGTCAGAAAGTCCTACATATTTTAAGTCAACAATAGCACATGATCTTAGATAAGAGTCACCATTATTATATGGTAAAATATTGATAATACCTGGAAGATAACCAAGTACTAAGCTGGGTAAGAAGAAGGGGAAGAGGAGAACAAGCATGATGGACATAGAGCCCAGGCCCCGATGGATGGCACACACATGTAAACCCCCAAGTGTAAATCCAAACCATTGCTGATGACCTGAATAAGCCTGGGTCCTTTGTTGCCTACTCTTTTTATCTAAATGGGTGTTTGATCTCTGATAGATTTATGTTCATTGTAACATCCTCTGAGTCTCTGTCAGTTTTCAAAGCTGTTTCAATATTTACCAATATTTATAGTATTTTAAATCAATGTCCATGATTCATATAACATTAAAATACTAAAATAATTTTTACAGTTTCAGAACACCTTCATATACATTATATCAACAATTTTGCCAGTTAGGAAAGTCAGGAATTATTGTTTTCGTTTTACAGATGAGGAATCTCAGGCTCAAAGAGGTTAAGTGATTTGCCCAAGGTCACAAGGCCAGTAAGTGGCATAGCTGGGACTTGAACCCAGATCTTCTGACTTCCAGCCTAGAGCTGTTTCCAGCACCCCTGAACTCCTTAGGAGCAGTAGTGCCATCATTCCGCAGAGGTGGCACTGCTTCTCCAGTTCCCTCTGTGGGACCTGTCTCCTCTTCCAGGCTGCTGTACCGCTCCATCGACTCCCACACGGAAGACAAGGGCCCCATATACAACTATCGCGTGGAGATCTCCATCTTCTTCATCATCTACATCATCATCATTGCCTTCTTCATGATGAACATCTTCGTGGGTTTCGTCATCGTCACCTTCCAGGAGCAGGGAGAGCAGGAGTACAAGAACTGTGAGCTGGACAAGAACCAGGTAGCTTCCTAGGAAGGAGAGGACCGAGGCATTGAGGGGAAGTAGGGCCACATGAGGAATGACAGCAGTTGGCCCCCCCAGAAGAGAGGCTGTCAGGAGAGAGATCCATATGGATACTAAGATCATCTGTCTGCTCCTGTAAATGAGAATAGGGCTCCCCAGTCTTCTGGAGGAGACTGAGCAAAAGAAATGCTAATCCCAGATCTACCAAATGCATTCATTCAGCCAACAATTATTCATTAAGTATCTACTTATGGAGACTCTGTGATAGACTTGGGGGAGGGAGGTGTGAGGGGGTGAAAACCTTGTGCCCTATCTAGAAGCTGACAAATTAGAAAGTGCCCATGGTAGGTTAGTCCCATTGATAAAAAGGAAAGAAACTAGAACAGTGAGGGACTGAGAGTTTTGAGGGTTAGGAAGAGCATGGCATTAAAAAACCACTATTCAATGGTTTCTCAAGTAAAACCCAGAGGCCTGTGCATGAAGTGGGGGCAGGAAAGAGGCTTGAGTAGGAGTGCTGTGGTAATGCCCAGTACCATGTTATACTCTCTCAGCCTATGAACAAGAACTGGCAATTGGTGAGGAATGAAGCTGTTAGGGTTGGCTGCAGCGTACAGTCACTGAGGTCAGGTGCCCAGCCAGGTTCCCCCATGGGAAGAGTCCATGCGGTAATATACCCCTCTGAGTGACTTCAGGTCTGCTTATGGAAAGGAGCATGGCACAAGACACTCAGCTCTACCCATTAGGCAAGCTGAACCCCTCAAAGATTTTGATGTCAACATCTTGGGTTGAGACTCATCATTCTGGCTGCTGTATGCACTTTAGGTTGGTAATAAGATAGGGAAGAAGGAGACCAGTCAGAAAGTTTATATGAAAGGTGATTAGACCCTCATCTACTACCAAGTTAACAATAGTAGAGATGACGAGACTAGGAGGAAATAAGGTGGATCAGGCTTAGAGACTGGATATGGGGGCAGGTATGTGTGTAAGAGAAGAGGCTACAGTGACTCCTTGGTTCCAGACTTGGAAACTTGGGCACAGTGCTAAGAAATTATGAGCACAGTGCTGGGCACTTTGCTGGAGTCCCAAGAACCTAGTTAGCCTAAGATCTCATCACCATCCATGATCTGGGTCTTCTGATCTGTGGACACTGGTAATAAGGAAGATTTTCTTTCTTGAGGACAAGAAAGAAAAATAGAGCGGACAAGTGCTCCAAAGAGAGTCTGTGGCATAGGAACTAAAATGCCAACTATGTGGCAGCCGTGTAGTAGGCATTGGGAGTTGAAAGGAGACACATACTCCTCAGCTAAGCCTAATAAAGAGATTAACTAGAAGATATGATCTCCTTGATTAAGGGAGAGAAAAATCCAAAAAATGTTCAAATAATACCTCAAACTTATAAATGAGCTAGAGCAATAAATTATTCTCAGATTCCCAGAGAACGCTACCCCCAGGGACATAGTTTCATCAACATCCCACCCTCCTCTGCACATATCCAGGTAACTAACCACACTCTCTCCCCATTTCCACCCCACCCCCCCAACTACCTCCCTCCCAGCGTCAGTGTGTAGAATATGCCCTCAAGGCCCGACCCCTGCGGAGGTACATACCCAAGAACCAGCACCAGTACAAAGTGTGGTATGTGGTCAACTCCACCTACTTTGAGTACCTGATGTTCGTCCTCATCCTGCTCAACACCATCTGCTTGGCCATGCAGGTTAGTCCAGGGGGGCCCTTGGTCCCTTGATGCCTGCATGGGGGAGAGTGCTATGGGAGGAAATGGAGTGCAAAAGGGCTGCACAGGCATCTCTGATTTGTTACCTCCCTGGTGGCCAAAGGAGGTTGAAAGACCAGAAGAGCTGTCCTCTTCTCCCAGGTAGAGAAAGACAAGTTCTCTTTCTCAAGGATGAGCTCCTCTCTGGGACCCTAGGAATCCATAGGCCCTTAGGTTGGAACAAATGGAGAGAGCGGAGGAAATGGAGAACAGAGGGTGAGCTCGAAGTGTTCATTTATGGTCAATAAGGCATGGTGTGTGGAAATTGATTCTACATCTACCTGTCGTCAGGGAGATCAACTCATGCTAGTGCTCTTTTGAGTGCCAGTATTCTCCATAAAGTTGTCATAACCAAACAAAGCAGGAACGTAGAATTTTGCCAACTTCTGTTTTCGGAGATGGCAGAGAAAGAAAGAACTTGTAAGATTTCCTGAATCCACTTGACTGCCCACAGAGACCTGGATGAACTTCCAGGAAGTGGATGGTTCAAGGAAGACCTCTGTTGAGATGAGGGTGGTGAGGAGTAGGGGTATCCCTGCCTCGTTTTCACAGTCCTTCCCTCCGCTCAGCACTACGGTCAGAGCTGCCTGTTTAAAATCGCCATGAACATCCTCAACATGCTCTTCACTGGCCTCTTCACTGTGGAGATGATTCTGAAGCTCATTGCCTTTAAACCCAAGGTAAGCCTCTGAATAAAAGACATCTGGTGTGCAGGCACTAGAGGGATGGAGTACCAGTATCAAAAGAAGGAGAGTGAGGGGCAGAAATAATCAGTGAAGGGCCATATCTTCTCTGATGATAGATAAATGCTCCAACTCCTAAACCTGCCAAGATTGGACCAGGTCAAGTCTTTGAAGTAGAATCTCAGCTCATGGTCTGGAGCCAGGGGTCCTCAAACTATGGCCCGCGGGCCACATGCAAATACAAATATTGTATTTGTTCCCGTTTTGTTTTTTTACTTCAAAATAAGATATGTGCAGTGTGCATAGGAATTTGTTCATAGGGTTTTTTTTAAACTATAGTCCGGCCCTCCAACAGTCTGAGGGACAGTGAACTGGCCCCCTGTTTAAAAAGTTTGAGGACCCCTGGACTCTGGACCATGGCTGATATGGACAGGACACAGATTTGCCCCTGAGCTGAGCCTTTCCATCCAGGGAGGCAGATGATGCTCTTCCCTCTCCCATTTCTCACTTTGTCTCTGGCCCATCCCCCAGTACATGATCTAGAAGAAACTATGCAAACCAAACCTCTCCAGGCCCAGCGCCCCAGATCCACTCAGGCCTCTGTTCTATCCTCCTCCCATTTCATCAACCACCAGCCCCATTGTAAAAAGCCCAGCCAAGGCTGCATTTGCTCAGGGCTCAGTATTCTAGCCCAGTGGTCGGCAAACTCATTAGTCAACAGAGCCAAATATCAACAGTACAACGATTGAAATTTCTTTTGAGAGGCAAATTTTTTAAACTTAAACTATATAGGTAGGTACGTTGTTATTAACTTAATTAGGGTACTCCTAAGGCTTAGGAAGAGCCACACTCAAGGGGCCAAAGAGCCGCATGTGGCTTGTGAGCCGCAGTTTGCTGACCACGGTTCTAGCCCATGGGGCTTCCTGTTCCCCACCTCAGAGACTACATCATTGCTCCCTTGCACCTTCCAGCACCTGAAGGGCAGTTACCTGCAAATGTCTATGCTTTGCTTCTTATAAGCAGCTCCTCAAAAAGAGTTTGAGAGACAAGAGTAGAACCCTTGGATGGATGAGGCAGGGTAGGGAAAGCTGGATTACCTATCACCTTGGATTGTCCGTGCCCTCCTTAACCAGCCCCACCCCATTGTCCTGGATAATGGAGGAGCAGGCTGGTTTGAGCAGCACCTTCTGTCTTCTACCCTGGAAGACAAGCCAGAATCACTGGCATCCACTGACCTGGGATTCACAACATGAGCAGCTACTTCTGAGGGAGGGTCTGTAACAACTCAGTGGCTCTCCTAGCTACCCTAACTCTTGTCAGAGAGCGATGAGAAGATTTGGTTCAGAGAGAATTGTTCCATACGGACTTGAGAAAACTCTCTGGCTTTCTGTTCCTTCTCTTCCCCTCCTTTGTTAGTTTCCCCAGATGCATCACAAATCAACAGAAGGCCAAAAGGAGAAGTCCCTGGCCATGTATTTTATTGCTATTCAAATGTGTACTTGTCCCAGGACTAATTGGGGCAGGGGGTGCTCCTTGGCTCTTGGGTCCATGTTCACTGACAAGCTATCCATCATCTTTTTTGAATTAATATTCAACCAGCATTTCTGAATAACCTACCATGTGCTACACATACCTCATTGCATGTAAACCTCAAAATGCCCCTATACGATAGGTCTTAGCACCCCCACTTTAGGGAAGAGGGAAGTGAAGTTCAGAGCAATTGGGTGTAATATTAATTACACCAGTACTAATTAGCTTAACTGGGAACAGAATCTAACACTTCTGAGTTAAGGTCAGTGTATTTCCACATCAGCTTGTTAGCATCTTTCTACATCAAGTGTTCTGCTGGGTACATTTCAGAAAGAGGGAAACAACCTTTGAGATACGCCAAAAATAAGACTGACAATATTCTTAAAATGCTGATTTTTCTTTCCACTCAAAGAATGCCTAGGTGTTTTGGCTGATTTTCAAAGAATTAGACTCCTAATGAAGGTCATCTGGTGATGAGAATGGTGTTTTCCTGCTTCCTCCAAGGCAGCAATTATAATCTTTTCCCTTCCATCCTATTCCCATTAAGGGACATAAATTTTTGTCCTGGCCTAGAGAAGACCACTGAATATCCCTGGCCACTTTCTGAAGGGCTCACAGTACCTCTGCCCACCTGTGGGCCAGGAGTACTGACAGGTTCACAGCCCACAGCGATATGACTGAGCAAGGCCAGGAATTCAGGATCATTGCCGAGTTGAGCTTCAATCTCAGATGGCAGCCCCTAGGTAGGGAAACTGGCATCACTTTCATCTAGTTTCATGAGACATATGGTTTAAATATTTCAAAGCCTTGAGTCATTTCACAATTGACTCAGATGTGTTTCTGATGATGCCTGACGCAATCTGCAGGGCCCTGCAGTGGACTTCCTGAATCAGTCTCACGAGCACGGGAGATGTATTGAGCAAACCTGCCCCAGGGTGCAAATGAAACTGACACCTGCAGGAGCTTCCACCTGAAGGACATTGTGCCCAAATCCTGCAGCTCTAGGAACGAACCAGCCTCCCAAAACTAGCCAGCTGCGGTCTACAGCATAAAGTGCTGCCTAGTTTCCTCAACCCCTACTTGTCTATTGTGAGAATATGGGAAAAACAAGAGAGACTTTTCCTAAAGAAGAAAGAGAGCCATCCTGGGGCCATTTGCATTTCACCCGCACGGGTCAGTCTGTAAAGAGAACGGGAAATGGACCCTTCCTGTGGACGCCTCTAAGTGTCTCCTGGCAGGAGCGGGTGCCGGTCACTGAACTGGCTGGCCAGCGAAGGTCAACCAGTTCGGAGGAGCAGTTCGGAGGATTGGGAAAGCAGGGCTCCCTGGATTCTTATTAAGTGATATTCTTCATTAAGGAATAGACTCCGGGAAAAGCCTCCCCAAACATTTCAGGCAGAACACCAAACCAGAAACAACTTGTAGCTCTGGTGAAAATATCGAGCTGAATGTGCCCAAGAACCAGGGCTTCTGACAGTGACCTGAAGTTAATTCCCATTAGTTGAATTCTGTTGCACCTTATCACTCCCTGGATGATCGTTTATGTGTGATATGAAAGGGTTTACACTTGTGGACAATCGCTATAAAAGGACAGTTAGGCAGCAACACAGTCACAGCCAGGGAGAGGTGATCTCAGGTTGCCACTACTTGCTTTTTCTTGTCCTTTTTGTCTCTGTGATTGGTTGGTTGGTCAGTCAGTCAGTTGGTGGTGTGTGCTCTTGCTTTCATTGTCTTGGTGATTAGTGTTCCCAAGTTCTTCATTTCTATCTATTCTCACCACTCAATGGATAATGAATTACTCAAGTAAACCCTGCCCCAAATTCAACTGCCCCACTCCTTAAATCCACACTTTGTTCCAAAAATACACATAAACGATGGGTGAATATAAACCAGTTTAGAGCAATTCAGTCCCCCACCAAACCTCAGGGACCTGAGTCTGCTGATGTCTGGAAGAGTGGGAAAGCTGAGACAGTAGGATTGATTTGAACACCTAATGGCATGCCAAAGGAAAACCCCTCCTGAGAGCAGAAGGAATGCCTGGGTTGGGGCAGATAGCACCTGGGTCCTACTTGATTGTACAGGACCAAGTTGATCAGCATGAAAAACTGGTTAGAATGGTCTGAAAATAACTGAATAGCTGGGTGGTTTTCCTATCATGAACTGAAATTTGTCAAAAATGATGGATAAATATTTTTAAGATACACTTTAGGATAAGCACTGAAAAATATACAATGCCTAAGAAGAAATCTAACAAAATATGTCTCAAATCTCTACAGAGAGAACTATAAAATTTCATAAAGATGAATTAAAGAAAACTTAGTAAATGGAGAAATATATCATGTTCATGAATTGGAAAACCTAATATTATAAAGATGTCAGTTTTCTTCAAACTGATCCGTAGACAGCGCAATCCCAGTTAAAGCTCCAGGTTGAACTTTACCCAAGGTGGGAATAGCAGGAGAAAGGGAGCCACCCAACAGGAACTTTATGGCCAATCAGATGACCTTGGGTGGGTGGTCCCAAGGCTTCAACCCAGTTGGGCCGCTCAGATATCAGGAGAGGCAGGAACCTGCTTCTAGAAGCAGTGCCAGTCACGACACTCCACTGTCAGCAGGGTTTTAGTACCAAGAGTGATGCTGCGACTTTGTTGCCTGGGATTTGCTGTTGGCAATGACTCAGCAAGGGTGAAGGGGTGAGGAGCAGCACAGGATGGGGCTCTGCCTTCCCCTCCTCACTAGAAGTCCATCTGCCCAGGAAAGGAGAAGCCCACCCAAACAGAAAGTTTCTAGCCACTCTCCTCCCCCACAGGTCTGCCCGTGGTCATGGAGGGGCGACGAGGCAGGAACTGCTATTTCTGAGACTTACCTCATTCCCAGTGACTGCTGCCCACTCAAGGGGCATGCCCTTCTCTCTACCTCTTAGCATCTCCCTAAGGGAAGACTCTGGGGGGAGTTGACCCTGGCAGCTCTCTGGCATCAAGGTCTTGGTCTCTCTGGCTTTCTTCCAGCCTGAGAATAGTCCGGAGAGGTGAATGGGCCCAAAGTGAAAGCACTCACTGACCTTCCTGGCCCCCATTTTCTTGAATAAGAGCAACTGAACCTCGGGACTCACCTTCCTGTTGTAGGACAAATTAGGGTCCAAAGGCATTTCCAACCTGAGGGATGAGTGAGGCCTCTAAGCCAGCACTACGTAATGGAGCGTTCTGCAGTAATTAAAACATCCCGTACGCCCTGTTCACGAAATAGCCACTAGCCTTCTGTGCCTAGTGAGCACTTGAAATGTGGCTAGTGCAGCTGAGGAATGGATGTTTTCATTTTGTTCACTTTAATTACTTTACATTTCTTGGGCTGCACGGCTCGGACATGGCTTCTGCCCAGGACACTCCTGTAGCGACTGCCCTCTGTCCGTCTTGGCTTCCTCAGCCCAGCTGCTTTGGCTTCAGGAAGCTGATGGTTTCTCTCATCCTC